GGGGGGGGGGGGGTGTCAGAACCACAGTGTCAGGGCTGCGCCCTCAGCTTTGGGACGGTCTCTGGGAGGCCCCTTCACTGGGCCAGCCCCCCGGGGGTCCCGCTCTGCCTCCAGGGTGAGCCACGCGGCCTCACCCCCCCCTAGACTGGCCCTCTGGGCCTGCCGCCCCCCCCCCCCCCCGAGCTCCGGGCAGCGAGTCCCCCGGAGACGCCCCTGAGGGAGACTTGGCCGCCCGCAGGGATCAGGGCCTCTCGCCCAGTCCCGGCAGGGCACAGCCGGGGTCAGTCATTAGCGGGCGCCCAGCCTAGGGGCCTTAGGGCAGCCCGGGGCAATGAAGGGCGAAGCAGGGTCCGTCCTGGCCAGCCCCGAGCCCAGCCCGGCTGTGGGGAACCCTGGGGTCCGGATCTGTCTGTCTGTGCGGCCTCCTTGGTCAGACTCCAGGTGAGAGCCCGACTGCTTCCCACAGCCCCACGTAACCCCCCTCCCTCCTCCCAGCCCTGGGTTCTCTGCCGGGGATCCTTGTCCAGTCCCCGTGTGTGTGTGTGGGGTGGGGGGGTGTCCATCCCCCTTGGGGGCGGGGGTTGCCGGATGTCCATGTCCGGGCGATTGGGTTTGCTGATGGCTCACTGAGATGGGACCAGGCCCAGCCAGGGGAACCCGCGCCTGTGTCTCAGCCGGCCCTGAGAGCAGATAGGCCCCTTCCCCACCCCGCCCCCCCGGGCAACAAGGCAGCATATGGGGAAACTGAGGCACAAACAAGACTCATACAAACATTACACAATTACTCCCACATTATTACGGGGTGAGTAGTGGTGGGAGGGGGCAGGGCAGTGTTGGCAGAGAGCAGTGGGCGGGGCGGAGGGCTCACATGCGCTCAGTGACTGCCTCCCCCCAGGCCTGTCCATCGTCATCGGGGACCTGCTGCGGCACATCCCCCTGGCCGTGCTCTTCGGGATCTTCCTCTACATGGGCGTCACCTCGCTGAACGGGATCCAGTTCTACGAGCGCCTGCACCTGCTGCTCATGCCCCCCAAGCACCACCCCGACGTCACCTACGTCAAAAAGGTCTGCGCCGCGGGGGGGGGGGGGGGGGGGCGGGGGGGGGGGGGGGGGGGGCGGGGGGCGGGGGGTGTGGGGGGGCAGGGAAAGCCGCTCTCGGCACCGGGCCGGGGCGTTAACCCGTGTGGCTCCCCGGCCAGGTGCGCAGCCTGCGGATGCACCTCTTCACGGGCCTGCAGCTGGCGTGCCTGGCCGTGCTCTGGGCCGTCATGTCCACCGCCGCCTCCCTGGCCTTCCCCTTCATCCTCATCCTCACCGTGCCGCTCCGCATGTGCCTGCTCACCCGCATCTTCACCGCCCGCGAGCTGAAGTGTGTAAGTCCCGTGTGTGTGTGTGTTGGGGGGGTGACCAGGCCACAGGACGCCCTCAGGTGCCAGCCTCCGCCTGGCCAGGGTGGGGGTGCGGGGACCGCACAGGGGCCGTGAGCCCAGCCGCACCCCCAGCCCCTGGGGCAGCTGGCGGGGCCGTGCCGGAGCTCGCCCGGTGCAGAGCCTGCCTGCCCTGGGGCCGCGAGAGGGGCTGGGGAGACGCTGCCCGGGCACTGGCGTGGGGGACAGCAGCAGCAGCGCTGGCCCAGGGCTCAGAGGCAGGGGGGGTCTCCTGGCAGCGCCGGTGCAGCCTCTTCCCCGGCTCCCCACCCACCCGCCGCCTTTGCTCATCTCTCCCCAGCTGGACGCGGAGGAGGCGGAGCCGATCTTTGACGAGCGGGAAGGGGTGGACGAGTACAACGAGATGCCGATGCCCGTGTGAGGGGCACCAGCGAGCGACCCTGCGCCAGGAGCTGCAGCGGCATCGCCCGGACCTGCGCCATCTCCAGCACCGTGGCCGCTTGGACTGTGCCCAGCTGGGGCGGGCGCCCAGCACTCCCCCAGTGCCTGTGCCACACCAGCCATGAGACGCTCACGTCTCACCCCACGGCCTGGGCTGCCCCCTAGGGCGGCAGCACCCTGCCCTGCGGGGGGCCTGCTACCCGCCCTGGGCAGGGAGTGGGGCCCAGGAGCTGGCGCGGGAGCAACTGGGCCGTGCCGCCTGCCCCCAGCCACTGCCGTCCGAACTGTATCGTGTGCTGGAACCCGCTCCCGCCGCATCCTGTGTGGCCCCGGCGGGGTGGGGGGCTACACGAACGGACCTCCCTGCTCCAGCCCTGCCCCACCAGCCCCGGGCCCCACCCAGACA